CCAGCTAAACTTGACATTGCATACAAATGGCTCAGAAAGGATTGGAAACTAAATGGGAAGGCTTGGTTACTATTCTAAGCTTAGTTTCCAAGCTCCCAAGGAAGTGATCCCAAAAAAAATTTTTGCTCGCGGGCTTGCACTCCCGGGGGTCTGGAACGGTATACACGAATGCCCTGCCAAGAAATTAGCCAATGAGATCCTGACATCTTGCAAAGCTTCATTTGCCACTATCTCGAGAAGGGTGTTTATGTGCTGAGTGAAAACTCAAAGCAAAAGGCTCTTGAGGCTGTAAGATTTTGACCCAAGCTTCATAAGTTCTGAAAAGAATGCTGAATAAGGCGTCAGTTTTTTGTTTTTCTCTTTTGCTTGCCACCATGTCTCCAGTTCAAGTGAACGGTAAGCCAAATGCATGTATTAATGCTTTACGAAAATTTCATTTTGTTCGTCAAGCAGACAACAACAGTATCGATGTCCCTGCGAGCTAGTGTTTGGAATAACCAATGCAAGCTTAGATAGATAGATAGATAGATAGATAGATAGATAGATAGATAGATAGATAGATAGATAGATAGACATAGCATAAACAAAAGAGCGTCTGAAACGTTCCGTATGGGAACGTGGCACATTATATAATTTTTGACGCCTTAAATTATAGCTGGATTGTTTTCTTGGTGGCATCAGGTGGTATAACTTATGTCCGGGATTGATAGCAATGGAATCGAACAATTGTCTACTGTTTAATGCAAATGAGCGTATTTTCTCGTTCGTTTGCAAAAACTAGGTCGAGAAAATTTTAGTGATCAGCTTAGTAAATTGATTCAATTACCTTTTTCATTGTTGAGGTGAGTAAGTCTCGATGTTCTTCTGTCGATTAATGCGTCTAAATGCTCGTGCGTACCAGTTCGATAAATGACAACTAAAGGCCAAACGATGTATAGATTATAATGAAAGCGATGCTTTTTTAACCTCCGGATAGTAGCTCTCATGAATAGCAAGAAGGTGAGAAAATGCTAATTTGTGTTTTGTTTATTTTACCAGCTTCACAACCTTTTTCCTAGAAATCGAGATTCTTTTTCACCTGCTTTTTCCGAGAAACAAGAGATTGATATAAACGTGGCATGATATCGCTGACGTCACTAACTTATTGATATAAGCGTCAAGACCAGAGGCTTATTGGCTCTTGGAAGAAAGGGCACTTTCAGTGGATAAATGTCATTTTTGTAGTGGTAAACAAATACATGTATCGTTCAAATAAGTTTCAGACGGGCATGCCTGTTAAATAAAATGTCGTTATTAATCAAGTTGCAGTTGTAGCTTTATGTTACGAGCTCGATCCATATCATGGACCAACGTAACCAGATCGTTTTTCGACTGATTTCACATTGGTTTGACATGGAGTCAAATTGTCAAGGCTGCTTTCACACAAAAAGATCTGTTGTGTGTCTTTGTAGTTGGCGATCATTTTATGCTTTTTTTAAAAATCCCTTTGTTCCAAGAGCAAAATAGATTCTAGATCAACGGACACTGCTGACGTCAGTGATATGGATTAGTACGCATAGTACTCTCTATTCCCAGAAAAGAATCTTAAATTCGAGGAAAAGATAGCGAAGTAGAACAAACAAAAGAGCACAAATTATGTTTTCCATCCTTTTCCGGCTCAAGCGACAATTACTGTCTGCACTTTAAATATGCATCAGTTTAAGTTACCCACGCGATCTATTAATTAGCGAAACCGCGCTCATCAATTTTATTTATATTTATATTATTTATATGTTTATACAATGAGTCATGGTGTATTAACCCTCAGACGTACAAGCAAATTCATACCTTCACCGTGGTACAAGGGGGGAGGGTGGATGGAACCCCTTCACGGAATTTTTGATATGTTGAAGTATTTTGAAACGATTGTACCTTTAGTTGAAAGCCTTTGATCTTCTTAACAAGATAAGGTATACTGGTGGTGCTGCTGGAGACCTGTGACGTCACCAACAATGGTCGCAATTTTGGCCGCCATCTTGGATTTTACCAAGAATTGGAAATCAGGTTAAAACCACGATAAATGGTAATTTTTGGTGCTTTTCATGAACCAATAAATAAACCCATAAATGAACAGTTTGTATGATTTGAGCCGCAGGGTTTGCTTTTATTGTTGAAAGAAGTTGAAAAAACATGTATTTTCACCCAAAATTGGCTTGACCACCTTTTTTTAGGCAATTGTTAATCGAAATTCTTTAATTATATTTACAGCTAGATGGAGCTGGACGGATGTTTGTTGGGCAGGAGCAGTTGGCGCTGTTACCGTAGTAGCCGCGCCTGCTGCTTTGACAGCAGTGGGATTTACCGCAGCAGGAGTTGCCGCAGGCTCAGTAGCAGCAGCAACCCAGTCCGCAGTCTATGGAGGATATGTGGCTTCAGGTAGTGCGTTTGCACTGGCCCAAAGCGTAGGGGCCGCTGGAATTGGCATGAAAGGTGCTGCAGGTCTCTTCTCAGCTGCTGCCGC